AAAAAGTTCCAATTGAAAATTTCCTTGAGCTTCAGGTTCTTGCCTTCCCAATATAAAGATTTACTTTGAGAGGCACAGAATGGGGTTTTTGCATAGAGAAATGTTATGAAGAATTTCCTGGGAGAGAGAAAAATCACCAACCCAGCCTCCATGACTGGCTCCCTGGCACTTCTCTCTGGCCACCCATGTGTAAACGGGACCATAGAGAAATTCTTGATCAAAAGGGGGAAAAGAGGAAAAGCACACCAAAAGTTAAGGTGCTTGACAGAAGTTGGGTTTCTAACTGGGCTGTAGACCAAATTCCATAGAAGGAATTTTCATACTCTGAAACCTGCTTTTGTTTCACATGTAACAAGATTTTTTTAAAGTTATATAATATTTGGATTAGAACTGGGCAATGCTGAAGAATCTGTTTTTTTCAGGTTCCTGGAAGGTACGAGTATTAAGCACGTGGATTTAAAGGTCAGCTGATTCTCAGAAAATACTCCCTTTGCTCCCTAAGGAAGAGAAAAGGTGCTTTTTTCTAACCTGCACTTGAGGTGTGCAGTTTTAAGGGGTTTAAATAGTGAACTAATTAGCCTTCCTCTGATCCGAATGCCATGTTCTTCAACATATAGATCACTTTCTCAGACTTTTTGTTTAGCACACAGATTGAATACTTATGGTGAAAGCATACAACCCTGTCCGTGAAAGGATACAAAGAAGTCTGTTTTCTGATTTCAATCATGAAAGATCCCCTTGTCCTGTTCAACAACTGCCTCTCGATCCAGGTCCAGATGAGAGCAACTCAGTTCTGGAACTGTCCTTCTTGTCGATGTTAGCCATAGATCGTTATGATTCACACGGTCCATGAATTTCCATTGTAAATAAAACTCAAGTAGACATCTTTCTAGTATTCTCTGATTTTAGGGAAGACCCATCTGATGTCAGCAACGACATCCCTATTCCACAGCCTTCTTCTAAATCCAGCTTGGATTTCTGGCAGCTTCCTGTCAATATACTGCTTCAATTACCTTTTAATTGTTTTCAGGAAAAATAATTTTTGTGCCATCGTTAATAATTTGCTAGAATGTGGGAAAATTTCTACTCTCTGTTGGGTCACGTTTCTTTGAAATGGGCACAGTCGATTGTCCCGGTAGTCAATTGTCCTCCAAATGTCTTGGCATATACTAATGAGTGATTTCAGTCATGTATCAATGCAATGGTAATCTGTCAATGACTGAATCCTTGTTTTCTGCTGATACCGTCAGCGCAGCTTGGACTTCTTTCTTCAGTTCTGTGTTCTGTTGGGTTGTCTAGAGAAACAAAACCAGCGACACTCACAGATGTATAAAGAAGAGTTTTTATGGCAAGA